TCTGGAACATCTGGAACACAAGTCTGGATGAGAGAGACAAGCAGAAGTCCTTCAGATTTCATTTCATGGCCCGAGTGGTGGCATCCGGGGTTTTGAGTGCTGGGTGGCAGTGGTGTGGAGTGGAGAGTCCAGCAGTCCAGCGACCAGGGGCAGCCAGGGCACAGCCTAGTTCTATCTAATTGAACCTTGCCCTTGGGATGACCTATCTGCCTAAGTAAGCCAAGATTTACTTCTGTTGTTTGCAACAAAAAATCCTAGTGTGTACAATATAAGAAAGAGAAGGAGGGAGGGAGGGAATTCATGCCTCACCCTCACCCTGCAAGAATCACTACGTCAAGTAAAACATCCCTAGCCAGTTCCACTCTTTTTTTTTAAAATATATTTTTATCGATTTTTAGAGAGAGAGGAAGGGAGAGAGAGACAGAGATAGAAACAGCAATGGGAGAAACATCCATCGGCTGCCTCCTGCACGATCCCTGCTGGGAACTGAGCCAGCAACCTGGGCATGTGGCCTGACCAGGAATCCAACCGGCGACCTCTTGGTTCATGGGATGGTGCTCAGCCACTGAGCCACACCAGCTGGGCAGCCAGTTTCACTCTTGCCATTCGGAGCATCAGGAAGCGGCCAGCTGAGGGTCCGAGTGGAAGCGCTCACTTGTACGAATTCCCGAATGGGCAGATGTGGCCACAGCGGACCCAGGAGAGGGTGCATACGGCAGCTACGGGGAGCTGAGCTGAAGTTATTGATGGGAAGTCCAGGTCCTGCCAGAACCCCACTCCACGTAGACCTAACTGAAGATCATCTCATCTTAATTGCCCTGCAGCTCAGGCGTTAATGGGGGCCACTTCGTTCCATGCACCCATGGAGAAACTGTCCTGAACACCCCCAATTCCGCGGCCTGTGGATTTCATGGCCCCAGCTTGCAGTGTGTCACCCAGCTGGGAGTAAGGGTCACGTGATACTGGATATGGCCACCCAGCCCACAGGACGGCCCAAGAAGGTCCCCAGCACTGACACATTGGGGCCAGACAGTACAGGCCAGGGAGTGGGGAGGGCCCTGTGTCCTCCCTTGCTCCGCCCTCAGCACCCTGTCCCTGGGGACCTTGCCTGCCCTGGGCAAGGAGTGGTCATGGAAGCCTCAAATTGCAGGTGGTGTCTCAGGCTCGCCCTGGCCTCAGAAGTTCCCTCCTTGCCTTGGTCCCTCATTACCATGGGCAGAGCCTCGACCCATCCAGATATAGAATCCAGTATCCAACCCAAAAGGCTGTGACTTCACCCCCAGCAGGGGCAGCTCAGCATGGAGAGCTGGTGGACGGCCACCCCGGGGCATCCCCCCAGCTGGCTCACAAAACACAGATGACAAGCTGAGTGGGGGGTCTTAGAGGGAGACAATGTGAACACATCAGAGCAAGGACCTTTCTTTCTTGCTCCATCTGGAAGAAATGCATCCCTCACCTGCCTTTTTCATCCAACTGCTGAAGCAGCATCCTTGTTATAAGGAAGTAGGTCACATTGCCAGTCCCCAAAAAGGAAACTGCTACCTCCATTGTGACAGGGTGTGAAATGGCCACCTCCGCTGCCTCCCCACCTGCCTGCCTCCTGGAATCCGAGCTCCCCGGGGTCTGCTGTGCCCAGAGCAGCTTTCCTCTTCCTGCCACATGCACGAGCCACGCAGGAGACAGCATTATGGCCCCTGAGCCAGCCCCAGGGGTGGGGTGCAGTGGGGAGAGCATGCAGCTGGCCTGAGCGCCCCAGCTGCCCTCGTTCCCCAACTGAGAGATAGCTTTTCCCAGAAGAAATCAAGGCAGGGAGCCTGGCAAAGAAGTGTTATTGAGAGCTCAGCCTCGCCTAGGACCCACTTGCAGCGTGGCCTTCCTTCGGGGAGAGCCCGGCACCGTCAGATTCAGGCGGAGGCTGCCAAGTTCTCCAGGGAGGCGTGCGGTGCCGTGGAAGTGGTGCGGACTGGGAGGCAGGCCGATGCAGCGGGCAGGGCCGTCTAATGTCTCCACAGCCTCGTTCTGTGTTGTCCGAGCCATGGGCTATCAGGGCAGCCTGCTCCCACAGGCCGGTGGCTGTCTCTCCCCTGTACCACCAGAAGGAACTGTACCGTCCCACTGGCCTCAAAGGCCCCAGGCTCCCTGGTGCTGGCAGTCAGCAGCCGAGACAACCCCTGTGAACAGCGGGCACCCACTCCCCCTGCCTGGATCCCCCCTGACTGGGCCGTGTCTCACACTTGCCCTCTCTCTAGCTCCTGGGGGCTGCCCGCAGTCCTTGGCATTTCTTGGACTGTAGCCACGTCACTCCAATCTCTGTCTCCGTCTTCACATCATCTCCTCTGTGTTTCTGTCTCCTCTGTGCATCTCTTATAAGCCATGACACTTGTCATTGGATAGAGGGACCACTGGATATTCCAAGATGATCTCACCTGAAGATACATAGTAACATTCACTTTTGCCAAATAAGGTCACAGTCACAGGTTCTGGGAATTAGGAATGGACATACCTTTTTGGGGGACCACCATTCAGCCCACTACAGCTGCTTTCCAATTTCTCCCAAAGATGTAGTGTGTCTTATTATTTCACCAGCTAGAGAGAGATGGGGCAAAAGACATGTTATGTGCCAGGTACTTCTGCATTCATTATCTTAACTTTTCACCTGAGATTTCACCAAACTAAGAGTTCTAATTTCCTCTTCCAGATGAGACTATGGAGGCCCAGAGATGTTAAGTAACTTGCCCAAAGCCACACAGCTAGGAAGTAACACAGTGGAATCAGGCTCCAGGTCTGTCCGCGTCATGCAAAGGGTCCTTCCTGGGTCTCCCGTCACACAGTGGGGCTTCAGACAAATCCTACATCATGTGGGACAGGTTAAGAAAGATGTTTTATTGGAGAAAGGGGTACTCACATGGGCCAAGGGAGCCCCCAAACCTTTCATCAGCCCCCCGAGGGGAGTGCCAGGACCAAGGTGCTGCTGTTGGGCTGGGTATACAATGGCAGCCAAGACAAGCCTCATCCATGCCCCCCCAGGGCCTACCTTCTAGTGGCAGAAGTCATGATGTGTAACCTCACGGCAAGTGGTACCGTGAAGAAAAACAGCGGGATAAGGGGGCAGAGGGTGCCGTGCTGGGGTCGGGGAGGTGGGGCACAAACAGGGAGATGTGCCTGAAGATTGAGGTCAGACTGCCGGGGCGGGTGGGGCAGAAGGCGAGCCAGCTGTGGGACAGTCAGGCTGCCTGGTGGAGGCCTGGCGGGGAGGGTGCATCTTCTCTGGGTGCGAGAGCCCAGAGTGAGGAGATTTCTTTCACTTTTAAAAAGCTCGCTGTGGGAGGAAACGTAAGACAGGCCCAACTGAAGGACATGCTCCAAAATAACTGGACAAGACCTCTCAGGAATGCCAAGGTCAAGGCTGACGAAGACAGCCCAAGGTAAAGACAGACCAAGAACGGTCCAAGTCAAAGGCGACTGAAGGGACATGACAGGGAAATGAAATGCATGCTCCAGACTTTTCTTCGGAGCCAGCAGCCCCTAGATGAGCTGACAGTGCTGTATCGGCAGTTCGACCTATCATGTGCGGTGACGTGAGCGGGAGCCCCGATTCATAGGGAAGAGCCACCCGCTGGGATAGTTAGGGGTAAAGGGGCATTGTATCTGCAACTCCTCACATTTTTTTAGAGAACGTGTGTGTGACAAGAATGGTGAATAAATGTAGGGAACTGAAGAGCACACAGAAAATCTTCATCTCGTTCTTGCAATTTTTCTGTGAGTCTAGGATTTATGTCAAAATAAACAGTTAAAAGAAAAGGGGGTGCTGCTGCGTGGAGAGCTGGGTGCAGGAGAGGCCAGGTCGGGGCAGGGAATGTGGGGAGGGGCTGCGCAGCAGAGGGGGGGCAAGGCGGTGTGGA